TATAAACGTTTGAGTTGCAGAAAAAACAGTTCAATACAGAAATAAAATGTTAATTAAATATATAGCATTAGTTAGCACCGGGGTCCTATTTTAACCACGGAGGAAAGGTATACTTACAATAAAAAATGCTTCTAACGTAAGTACATATTTCTATACCTTTGCGAAAATTAGGACTTCTTTAGTTAGATTTCCACCGATTTCCTCACGATTTCGTTGTTTACCAGAGCGCTAAATATAGTAGTTTTGGTTCATGATCGACTGAACTAACACTAGTTTTTCACAGCTCAGTGTAGCATTCAACATTAACAAATCACATAAATTTTTACACCACCCTCGGGAGCCTTTAGTTCACTGAAATGATTACACACTCGACACAATTATAAGTTTTCCCATCAAGCTATCAAACCCTAAATTAAAACGCTCCGATAGGGGTAAGGACCTGAATTTTATAGCTATTGTTAAAATATAATTCAGAACTCAGTGGGAACTTAACAGTGCGGGCCATTTTTATATAGTTTGGTATTATTACTTCTTTCATTTCTTCTATTTTTCTTCAGTTTATTAAGATTTACTTATTATTTTTCAATCAATAAGTATACATTTTTATTTAATGAAAGTCTCGATTTTAGATGTTTATTTTTAAGGTTTCAACTATATTAATAAGTACCTATTTGTTTTTAATTGGTTAAGTTTGGACAGTCTTACAGGGGAATAAAGTGGGGCAGCGATGAGCATCTATATTCGAAGTAAGATATACGCTTCGAGTTGTATATAGTCTCTATTTAATATATTTATTAGTCAAGCTACATAAGGCGGTACATGTTAAAATTCTGTTATATATCTAATAAACTAACATATTTCCAACATATAATGCTTTGACCTTGATTTATGCTTCGTGTGTGTGATTTGACGTCAAAGATAATATTTTATTTAATAATATTTTATTTTATTTAATATATAAGTAGCGGAATTATTGTACATAGTAATTCTGCCAACAAATGAATAATTCATGGCGGCGACATTTCTTATGCATCACAGACCATTTCCTCCGGACTATGGCTTGGCCAAAATTTTATCACAAAAGATCCGGGGGAAGACTGGCTTTTTTATTATTTATGTAATATTTTGCAATTTTTTTAATCAGAAGGGTGGATCCCCTAGCTAAAGGGTGGGCCGAGGATGAATGAATTTATTGTCCTTTGTAGATAAACATATCAATTTGTTAGTGTTTTGTTAGTGTAATATGTAACAATTGTGGACGAATACGGCGTCAGTTTAGATGACGACTTTAAACGATACACTGGCGTGGAAAGTAGTGAGAGTTTATTACTTTAAATGGTCAATTGAAGCACTGGAATTCTTCATACACGATATCTTGCTTGACGCTAATTATATGTAAGTATTTTATATACTACTTATTTAACAAACTGTAAACTTTGATACAAATCTTTGTTAGAATAAAGAGTTTTCAGTTTGTAAAACTGCTGTATAAATAATAAATAACTATATTAGCTAGTAAATATAAATTGTTAAACGTGCTTTGCACGCGCAAAATATTGCATGCTTCGCAAAGCATGTAATTCTTTGCTGAGGCACAAAGAAGTTCTGGGTTCACATCCCTGGTAAACGGTAATAAGTTTCGGTTGGGCAGGCACAGACGTCTGATGAACAACTTGTCTTTTTTTAAATCGATCCTTACCACGGACACGGAAATATTTGCCGTGCCCCATTGGGATAGATTTTTCACTAAAACACGAAATGTGTGTTTCTATTCTAAGCACTTGTAGGGAAAACTAACAAATACTGTACGTGAGCCTGCAACCACTTCCTTACTATAATTTTGGACTCCACTCGCCACACGAAAATCTCGCGAGCAACTCTAACCGTGAATCGACTAAAAAGCAAGCGAATAAAATCGATTTTCCCCCAAATTGAACAGCCGTAAAACGTAGGTAGTAGTTTTAATGTTCAATTTGTTTACATGGCGGCGTCACGAGTGTAAACGCTTGTCGATAATTGATGATTTGATTTACAACATCACTAAACAACCGGTGTTTGGTCTACGCTTGGACCTTTGAATGGAACAGACTGTGCCTTCCTCCGACTATTCTTGAATTGAGGTTACGCTTCCTCATTCTTCTACAGCAACTAAGCGATTTAAAGAAGAATCTTTTGTAGATAGTTAACTCACAAAATTTATTCTATTGCTATAGCTTGATAAAGGTTTTTCTTGTAATAAGTAGGTATACAGATTATAATGTACTTACATGACAGATTTTAACAATAAATACGAATTCGATAAATTTCAAAATATTAACTGTGTACAGGATAAAAATATTGAGTTTTGAAATGGGCGTGTTTATAATCTGTTGTGTAAATAAATACAATATTAATAGCTGAAAAAATTAACGACAAATAAAAAAGAAACCATTAATAAAATGTCAATCGTTATCGACGAAACAATGAAATATTAACAAAATATACCGCAAAGTCATTAAAAAGGCGTAATCAGGTGATTCAAAGGTCATCGACCAGCTGTAGAGCTCTCATAAACTGCAAACACTATAAATTTAATTCGATAAACAATGAAACAATCGCGACTGTAATGGTACTATATGTCACTTTCGTGTTACCTTAGTTAAGTTTTATTGCTACTTCCGTGTATTAATTGAATTTCTTATAACTTTGTCAGCCAGTGCATTGGGAGGACACATTCAGTGTTTTATTGATTTGCATTTTATGAATTTACTAACAGTTCGGGGGCTAGTCATTAACAATATAACTAATTGATAGGTTCTCGTGATTTAACAGGATTACAAGGTTTTTATTCAGGAAGTCTTACACAAAGATTGCTTAGCTTACTTCCTGGATAAAAAAAATGTGAATACTTGCTGTATATATATAATGTCAATATGCATAGATAATATGATAAGCAAGGATAACCTTTTCTTATTATAAATAAAGGTTCCAATTATAAAAGTTTGAACTCAGAATACATACATTTTCTTATATAGCCTTAGTATATCTTCCTTCTTCATATAAGGCTGGATAACTAAAAATAAATAATAAAGCGGCCAGTAGCGTAGATTCGGGATTCTCTCTTTGTGCAATAAATTTTTATTGCCTCCTCATAGTATTATTTGACAGTGCCAATGCGTTAAATTGCGATTAATAGATGATTAGGCATTCAGTATCGCGTTTATAGCGGTACAGTAATAAATTTGGTTTATTGCGTATCAATCACAAGTACCTATTCGCGGCTAGGGCTACCAAAAAAGTATATAAAGTATTAGCAGGTACCATTAAGTATTTTCACTTAAATTATACAATAAAATAATAGTTTACTAGTACTTATACATAAAGAGGACACATTATTGTATATTTTCTACATAGGTAAGTTATACAGGTCTTTAAATAAATAATAATACAGGACAGCTATCGAAACCAAAGTTTTGTCGACTTTATAATATCGGTTATAAAACTCCTATTGTATAGATATAACAAATTCAGATTCAAGAAAAGTCCTCAAATGTAGCAATTATTTGAAGGCTTTTTGCAAATCTTTGATAGCCCTAAGAACACTCTCGCTGCCTCGCGGACTTGACCTCAGAGAATATGCTGTAAATTACATTTTATTGTCTAATAACTTGTAGTCACGGTCAGTAACGATATGCAAACATAAATGTGGCTAATATAACACTGTTATTATTGGGATCGTATAAATTATTCAGTAGTTTTATTATTATGTTTTTATTTTTATACATATTAAAAAATAAAACAGACTTATGCTTCTTAATAAGTTCTTAAAAGAACATATTTATTTGACGTACAGTGAGAAGATTTATTTTACAAACAAGTACATAACTGAACATAGAAACAAGAGATTTTTATAGACACTACACGGATATCAATGTACGGCAAATGAAATGCTATTAAAAATATATAATACTAACCCACTTATTGTATAAACTAAATAGGCAGTTACAAAATACTATCTCATTTCACTTACATGGGACTGTAATGAATTCTTATTAACGGGGCAAGTAGTCATTCAATAATCTAAACGAATATATTGTTTATACTTAATATAAATATATCCTTGATGTGTGTGTTATATAATAAGTTTTCTCGAGATTCGAACGTAGTAGGTAGGCACTTCTCTTACTTAACGCAAAGTTTAAAGGAATTAACCTGCGAAGGCGGTCACATTCCAAGTTAATTATCTAAGAACGTGGTAAAGTATTACTTTTGCACGTAAGGTCTCTAACTACACGTGTAGTTGTTACTATTGTCTATAAGTCGTAGATCGCTAAACGTTTAACTGTACACTTATTTCCCTCTTAAGTCATTACTGACTGTTAATTGCCAAGTATTCAAGTGGAAGCCACTAGAAAAGTTTTTAACTGTAAGTAAGTTTAATACAAACGCAAGTAATTTAGTGCAGCCATAAATCCGCCGCCATTAATATTTGCTTAACTTACCATAAAGCGGAGTAGTGTCTGAGGTCTCGCGAAGACAGTAAAATGTGCACTTAGTAAAGATTATCTTGCGTTGTGGCTGTAAATAATCCGCGTTAGTGCAGTCTACGGTTAATTTATTATCGGTATCTAGTGACTATCTAGCCGTTGTATACTTGAGATTATGTAGGGTAGATAAGTTTATCCAGTAGGTACCTACATGACAGAGGAAGAATGATCTTACATATTTCGGCCACTAGTTTTATACAATTATTCCTTAATTGTTAAAAAAGATAAAATACTAGAACTTCTTTTTAAAAGAATAGGGATAGAATTGTTTTTGTAAGTGTCACTATGATTTTAAATATAAATATAATTCTAGATTTAAGTCTAATACTACCCTAACAGTGTACATGTCTTGTGTCTGTCTACACTAATAGCTTCTTTACTTTGAAATCCTACTTTAATGCAGTTAATCGCTGAAATACTTAATAATATGCCTATATAAGTACGTAAACTATACGAAACGATTGTTTTTTTCAGGTGTCTTCATAAGCCAAGATGGTATAAAAAGGGAAGACAATCATCTTTCAAAATACATTTCTAATTTGGTAAGTCAATTAACTACTTCTATAAAATAAACCTTTTGACAATTTAAATACGTACTTCAATTCGTCAATTTAGAGAAGATCTGCTTACAATATAATATTTTCGGCCATATCACTAAGAGAGAAGGTGTATCATTTTAACTTATTTCTTTATAGTTAGCACAAAAGGAATTCATCGTTCGTGTCCAATCGGGGACAAGGTAAAGGAATATAATCTATTTCGTTCAACTTATGTTATATTACTGTAGTGTAACCGAAAAGGAAGATAAACAAACATGGCGCCGAAAGTTTGTATAGAATCATGATGCACACACTCACAAATCATGCTAGTGTGCCGCTGCTTAAGATTATTATTATTTTGGGCTGCTTAAAAGATCTGCAGGTGTCGTAAACATCGATGATATTTAATTTTTCATAATTTATACGTGTCTTAATCAGACCTAATTTTGTAAAACGTAATATGTGGAATTTACAGAATGTAGGTACTAAAAAATAATACAATTCTATTGACTTTTAAAAATGTAAGATTTTTATTTATAATGTTCTGAAATCCTGTTTACCATTGTGGGGCATGTGACAAACAGTTTTTCGTATTCGTTTTATTCTGAATTCAATATACCTTAGGATATTTATATAATCTTAATAAAACACATTGCAGACTTTTTAAAATAAAATGTTACGCTTTCCGTCGTATGTATAGAGTTTTAAAAGCTTCGTGCAGATGGCGCTATGATAAAAATACCCTTGTAGTCCTAAATATTTCGTAAACGTCCCAAATTAATATTATATTAAAATAAGAACAACGAATCGTTGTTCCGTATTTATATTTTTTGTTAAACATTTAAAAGGTACGGTAAAATACGTTATAGATACCGTACTTACAATGAAGGATAACTTTAGGCGGATACCTAAAGTAACATAAATTCAGATACTGAAAATAATCACATTAAATGTGTGTAATACAAATACACATGTGTTAACAAAATACATACTTTATCTAAGTACAACAAAAGATGGAATTTTATACCGCACTTAGTCATAACTTGAAGTATGAAAGCTCCATGCTTGATGGTTTTTCAACTTACCAGAAGATGGCGTTATATCAGAATAAACCAGTTAATTAGTTGAGTCACACATCTATAATATCCAGATTTAGACGCAATATTACTTACTACATTTTATGAAATCAAGACCAATTTTTTGTAGTTGACCTTATGCTCAAACAAAAATTGGTCTAGTCTAAAAATAGGTCTAGTCCGTACACTGTACGGACTTTGAAAAAGAAAATTAGATCTTTTTCGCAATTTGTTCTTCCATAAAATTATGAAAATTTATCGATTTATGTGATGTATATGTATGTTAACAGCTATAATAAGGTTATAACTGATTTCTTACCTCATTCAATAAAAATAATAACAAAGCTTAGGTGTCAAAGCCCATTGTATTAGACATTATAGAAATAATTTGAAAAGCTGTTAAATACATATTTTCAAGACAGCAATGGAACAAGGAATAATGTTGCGTTAATATATAACAACTAAAACAATAAGGAGTGAAACAATGCGACAAAGAGAAATTTATGCTAATGTAGAGCAGATTTTGAAGATCATTTCTATTAAAATTCAAATAAGTTTTTTGCTTCAAAAGAGAAAGCTAAACAACGTCAGTTTAACTTTAGATTTTAAACTGTTGTGTCGTGTTAAAAATGGTTTTATGTATTGAAGACTTTGTATATTTTGTTTTAATTTTCTATACCAGTATAAACATAGTGCGGAAGCGTGTGTTAATTTGGCGTTGGTTCAAATACTTTCAGGGAGACCGTAAAACAGATGGCGGCCTGGGAAAAATGGTATGGAAATATTTATCAATTATTTACCTTACGTATATAGTAGCTATTAGAAATTTGGATAATCCTAAATAGATCAAAGCAGCTATAATATACATAGCAAGATCATATCCAAAACGTTATATTACTTTGTATGTTTCAGTGTTAAAACATTTTATATCTAAGAATTTTAAGCTATCACTTAATTAACAACATAGTATATTCATTTATAATGAATATATGTTGTTAATTTAAATAATTAGGATCTTCTCTGTCTATCGACGCGCGACGTCGCGTTCCGTCTTATCTGTACAGACCCGACATATTTCTATACCTTTTTTCTATTATAATTAAACAAATAAATTCTCTACGTTAACATAATTTTTGATCCAATACCTGCTTAACCAAATGCCGTAAAACCTGTATAGATAGACAATAGATATTAGGTATTTGCCAATAAGTTGTGTAACTAGGCATTTCGCCTACTTTTTATATTTATGGGATACGAATAATGTGTACAAAATCTATACCTACTTATTATAGAAGAAGTACGATAATTTATAAAGGAAAACGCCTTAGTAACATAACTACTTATTGTACTTAGTTTAACTTATGAATCAAGTAATTAGATAGTTATCTTAAGCGAGTTAACATTCAAAGAAAAACTTTCAAAGTCAGTTTTTATTATCTTAATGGATGTTTAAATTGAAAAGTCAATGTGACCAGTTCTGTGGCATCATGTGTGGTCTCCGATGTTTTAATCTTATTAAGCTGGATTTAACTTAACGGGAACTGAAGTTATAGTCGTTGGTGATTGGTTGCTGGAAGTAATTATTACTGTATTTTTTTTATTAGATATATATAATATGATAAGTTCAAAGGACCTACTCTTTTCAATCCGAATTATAACACTAGTATAAAAGATACAACTCAGTTTTATAAGGAACATATAGTTACTTTAGTAAAAAAAATATTCAGATTTTTATGTAACATTTAGTAGTATTTTCTTTTAACTATGCCGTTTGTATCTATAACACAGCACGGGAGTATTACATAATATAATTTAATGAAGCAGACTTTATATTTTACCGTAAATGGCTACAGCTGTTTAAAAATTATAGCTTTTTTGTCTTTCATTTACAGGAAGGAATTATAATATAATTATGAGTATAATAATCTTTTTGTGAAACGATATATTTTACCTATAAAGAATACTTATCTATATTATTTTTTGTTATTGACTGCGTTGCCAATTATACCGTTCCGCTATATAGTTTTAATTTCACCCATCATTAAACAGTTTTTTCATTGAAAATATCGTAGCTTATATCGTATTGAACTATCACGGTAGCTATTCTACGCGGGTGTTCCTATTCACGGTGAAATATGTATCCGTAACTGAGGGATTTACGGCCTTACGCTAATAAGACCAGGCCATCAATCCCCCACTTTCTTATAAGTGTTACATAGATTTATATGTAGCGCGACAATTGTATCTATTTTCAAACTTGCCCTATTTTATTTACTACTGCACATTTTTGAGTGTTAAAATCTTTGTATTTCCCCATATTGCATTATTTTAGATAGTACATCTATAAACATGTAAGTATGTAGTACATAAATAATAGGGATTGTTTTTTAAAATGGGCAGAGCAACAAGATAGAGGATATTAAGAGAAAAGCTAAATATTTTTTTTATTCTTCCATTATACTTTTGTAAGTAGGTACTTTCAATTATTTTCTTTATGAGTGTTAAAAAGGCAAAACATAAACAACTGCTTATATTTTACTGTAAATAGTTCTGAAACACTTGTCGAATCGATTTGAGTAAATACCTACACATAGGCTTGCGGTAATTTAACACACTACTTACTTATACTTTTTTACTGGTTTCCTTTTTGTACACATTTGTAAATGTAATCAATTTAATAAGACGTTCAGATTTTTACGAGTTTCCTCGGGAGGGGCGTAAGTGGTAACACATCGGAAGCGGGGAAATCCATGCAATAACAATAACTCATACAGTTCGGTAGCCCCCCGCTAGATGGAGCACCGCGGACATAAGTAATCCATTTATTCTCGGGGCGAGCTTTATGTAGCGCACTCTTAAGCGATGTTCTCATATTGTTTTATATTACTCATGGTTAAATATGAGTGCGTGCCGAGCGCTACGGCTTTCGGATAATGGAAGTCTTACCGCAATACACTTAGTTTTAATTTAGTACTCTTAGAATTTACTTCAGTACATTCTGTATTTCGAATTTCTTTTACAAGATTCAACTAAGTTAATAATCACTTGTATGCCGCCATTATTAGAAACAAGAAAACGAGTGTCTTTGTGGCTAAAGTAGGTATTTTGCATTTTGTGCAAGAATACTTGAGTCTTTCTACTGCCTGTAAGTAAATAAAATTCAGTGAAACCGGTACAGACCCAATCAATCCCGCAAGTCACTTAGAAGAAACGTTACATAACGCAGTCATTTAAATCTATCAAAATTTTTTCATGTAGATACGTTTTGATGAAAATGCCTTCAAAATACCTATATTGAGAGCCAATAGTCATAATTTAGGTCAATAGCAGGTATTTTTCTACTATAGGAAATATATTAACAAAGATTTGTAGTATGTTTAATCAATATAGATTGTGCCCGTATTATTCACTAATTCAATTTTAATAAAAAATACCCTTCTTAATAATAAATTGATTCTATATCAATGTGAAACGGGTAACGTTGCGAATGAGAGATATCTTAAGAATTTCGAAGTCATTAGCCGACGAAGCGTGGATGGTGGAATCTTGGAAAGTTTCCTTCGCAGAATTCTCTGGATGAGCGCTTTAATTGAATTGCTGGATTTTGTAATTGCAACTGAGAATTTTGACTCGGGCAGTAGGTACCCTGTTATTACAATTTTATAGATCTAACAAAATATTATTTAAGCTAATTATTAAATATTAGTAATAAAACATGTAATACATATTAGCGCAAAATATATTAATTCATATATTTCGGGTTGAAAACCATTTAGGATGTTTTATTCAATGTGAACTCTAACCTTTAACGAAAGGTCTTATTATATTTATACAAAAAAATACATGTTTTGTTTGTCTGATTATATATTAGAGTCTGAGCAAGAATTTTCATTTTTATTAAACCTTAGTGAAATAATAAAAAAAATAGTTGTGTAATTAGTATCCCTACTCAATTTAATTAAAGTATAATTCTAAATTGAAACAAAAGAACATTGCGGGTAAACCATATCTAAAATTTAATTTAAAAGTTTTAATGCCCACGATTTGGATCAAATTAATCCGGCTGCCAGGTTTAATTTAACTTTAATCTAAAGTAACGTAGGTAAAGGTAGATATCGGGCTCGTAAACGTCATTTAACCCTTCGTTCGCAGTTTTCGAAATGAGAGTAAAGTTGAAGGAGTTGGCGATAGTATCGGATAACAAAGAAAGTTTTTACTGCTCAAGTTCAGCTAGTTGCAGAACTCGGATTTGTTTCGTGTTCTCTTTTCCAATTTAGGAATAGATGCTGAGGAAATAAATCATTTGCTCTCACAATACGTCCTCAATAAAGTATATGCTCATATATATGTTTTTGTTATTTTTTTCGAAATTTACAGTAATTATTACAAATGAATGTTATTTTTCAATATAAGAATTTAAAATAATAAATTTTGAAAGTCTGCGACGATATCGTTGATTGTATTTATTTAAATCTAATTAAAAATATGATAGCTTTTTGTTTTTTGTTATTATTCTAATACTATAGACAGTTTGATAGGAATCGATTTAAATTTCAACAGTTTGAATTCGATTTGGATATTAACTCAATATGTAGATTAACATAAAGCTCGTATTATTTGAATTTAAATTGGTATTTTTATAATATCGCGTTTGAACGACGCCGCGCCCACCCTTCGTATTTTTACTTTTTATAATGTAATTTTCTTAAATCACCTCAAGCAATCCGCGGCCCTCTAACCTGTCTATTAACTCGCCGGAATAATATCTGGGAGGGAACAAAGGAACGGTTTTTTCCTTTTCTTCCCGTTGCTTATCTATTTAATTACCATTGTATTAAAATGATGGACAAAGTAAAAAGGAGAGAATCATAATCAGAATTTTAAAATTTAATGACGTTTATTATATTATCTGTTCCTTTTTCAATTATTAATATTACGTGTGAAACCAATATGCTAATTTTAAATTAATAACTCTAGCTTAACTCTCCTATATAAAGTTATTTATGCATATATTGTGTAACCAGAAAGTTTACATCTAATATTAGAGAAAAGTTACCATGTCAATATAATATTAAAAATACTTCTTAATATTCATTTATTACTATTAATTTGTGCGTAGAATTATATTAGTGCATCTAGATATTATTGATGTTGAATATATTATCTGTCATCCTTTTCTCTCAAAACATTCTTTTAATTAATGTCTTAATTTCCCCCACAAAACGTCACCAAATTAAGAAATTTTCCTCGACATCGATTAAGTTGCGTGGGCGCATAAATCATGGCCGATTGACGGGACGCGCGCGCAGGGGTCGTTCACCCCAAACATCTGTTACCATATTTCAGTCTCAGACTTATCGAGTCGTTTGAATGTAAATATCTACTTGCCCTCGTACTCTACTCGTTATCTCATCATTAGACAGTAATAAAACTCTATCAATTCATGAATATGTTAACACCTATTGGAACCAGTCTGACTCTAAAAGAAGGTTCTTCTGTTTATAAGTACAATCCGTTTTTCTTCATTTATCAGATATTATAAGAGACTTGCTCTTTAGTTATTAATGTAATCCGTAAATAAAAATTTGATTAACTTTGAGATAATTAAAATATTTTCTAAGCATATTTAGCATTTTATGTAATCATAACCTATTTACATAAAACACTTTAACGGTTTAAAACGCAATATATTAGTTAAACTTATTTGAAAATGATTTTAACTTCGGCCCGACGTTTCGGATGCTTAGCAGCAGCCGTGGTCACGGGGAGACTATATCGCGTTTTAAACCGTTAAAGTGTTTTATTTAAATGTGTTCTACTCGCGTAATCTATAGACAGTATTTAATCATAACTTATCAATATGATATCAAACAATATGAAAAACCGCAGATTTTTTTCAAACGGTAAACTGTCAACTGACAACAGTTTTTCAAGGAGTAGTCCTATCTCAGCATTGACCTCTGGGCATTTAAAAATTCTTGGTTGCGGTCCAAGCCGAATCCCGCGCCGCCTTTGATCTGCTTTAATAATAGGGATTGATAATACCCATAGGTATCCGCCATGCTCCGTATAATGTCTTCTGATTGGCGCACAAAGCAACATGGTTGCCGCGCAGTGTAATAATAGCCGCGCGTCTGAACCGGCCTGCCGTTCGAGATTTTTGAACGGTCCATTATGAATCGATACCCTACATTTGCGATTTTGAACTCTATTATAATGTTATAGAGATGATATTCGCACTACCTTAAATCTTTTGATTGCATTCTTACAATCATTTAAAAAACGTAATCGGTATCAAGGGCTTCATATTTTGAAGACACCTGCGTTTTTATTTACATATTCACATTATTGGCAAGATTGTAGAACGATAAAAAAATAAAGAAGTAAATTATAATATATATGCTCCGATTTAATCAAACTGATGTAGGTTCCACTGAATTATTATATACTTACCTAATTACTAATTTGTATCAAATGAAAACTTTGTAGGTGAGGTTGATATGACAATTTATCCTACTATTGTTAGACAAATGTAACTATACCTAATTGTAATTAGGTACAGCTATAGACACCTAAGTAGGTATACATACAGTAGTAACTAACAATGAATAATTCTCTCAAATTTTGGTAGGTATTTCGAAAAAACAATAATCTTAAAATTTAATAGTTATTATTTAAGGGTGTCAGTTGTGTGGACACTACTAAAGTAAAGTAAAGACATATGTTCATACTTCTAGACAATGAAATGAAAATAATCCATTGTTGTTTAAAAACTCTAGAATAAAATAGCAATAAAATTGTAAAAATGTACACACGCAGTCAGTATGTTTGTGATTCCAAATGAATCGTGTCGCTTATTTTCATCCGTCGGCGAGTCGTGGATTTACGATCGTTTGGTTACTCAGCGATTCGGCACATCCCCGCAAACATAACTGACAATCTCCTGTCTCGTAATTTTCCCCAATTAAATCGATTATTTTTTCTACACTTCAATATTGTTCCAAAATAAACAAAACTACCAAAAGTTTACCAGAATAACACGAACTTACAGCGTTTAGTTTTGTTAGCTGTGCGATCTAAACAAAGACAAATAATATGTGTTAAAGTCCCTTCAATTTTTTATAATTTGCCGATGTGATAATGCTTTTGATAAATTTATATAAAATCACTACTTAAATACGTACCTTTACGGTTTAAGGTACGTATTTGAAGGAACGCAAATTTTTTGAAACAGCAAATATTCAATCTGAACCCAAATATGATAATACTAATCCTGTATACATACTAAGTGTCGTGGTACCTACCTCTACAGTCGCCTTACTCAGTAGGATGCAATAAACGTCTTTATGAAGAGCAACTGATCAAGGATTCAGTACCTTATTCTGTTTAGAGGACAGCTTATATTAGAAAAGATAATTCGTAATGTATTTGCCAAAGTCACCTAAAAGGTTTTCCAAAGTTATTCAACTTTCGCTAAGATAAGGATAAGGTTTCGCTGTGTTGGAAGACATGACACTTCCGTGTTAGTAACTTTGTGTTTTTTAATTAATTCCATATTTAAAAACTTACGGATAAAAAGTTATCAAACGCTAACCGTTGGTAACCGTTGTTTGACAACGTTCTATATCCTAGTCAACCCCTCTTAATGTCTGAATACAAGGTGCAAGTACAATATTGAATATAAACTAACTATAATTACAGTTACTAAGGAAAGATATACTCGTATACATAAGTAAATAGACTTTTATTCACAAATATTCATTTTGAGAGCGGCTTAGTTGTGGTTCGCCCGAAGTTACATCCTTACCCGGCTGTTTAATAAATGCCCGGCTGAAACGGTCGAGGGAACCGGGAAAATCGAGAAAATTAGGCGTCCGGAGAATCACAAAACCGGTAGTAAAACTTTCCACCGAAATGATTTTCTCACACGAGGGAGCCCGAGTTACGCTATTATAAAACACTTTAACTAAATTGTGTCACTAATTTGTTCTATTAAAATTGTTATATAATATGCATGTAGAGTGTTTGTTTAGACTTTCTTTACACCCTAACGCATGCTTTATAAACAACAATGAATAGTAGAAAATAAATCTAGAAACTTATACTACCATATGGCCTGTAAAAGGTTTTTCCTAAAAATAAGGTATATGAGACTTAAATTGAATAAATAATTCGTTTATAAACCTTAATTTATAATACCTAATTTATATTAAATTCAACTAGAAAAATTATAATGGTACATGTAAGGGCAATGCAAATATCAATACCTAACAGTTTGAACAACTTTCTTTGCCATATAAAATTAGCTAATCCAAGCAAAAGCCAGGGTGAAATTTTTACAAAACAGAAAAGACAGTCAGCGTGGCCCAATTTTACTGAGCAATTCATTCATATTCATACAGCCTTTCACCCTTTGTGCCCTGTTACGCAACCGACCCATTGTAATTCCTACCCTCCTTTGTTCATTTGTGACTCACTTATTCAAATTATTTTACAGAAAATCTATCAAAACGAAGGAAACAAAACGTGTTTACGGAATAGAGACTTCTTTGAAATGTAAATTAGTTCTTTGGTCTCAACATACCGAGAGAGAAGCGTATAATTTTCTATGAATTTAATTTATATTCTTAAAATATCAAAGTTTTTAGTTAGCTTAATTTATCAAATCCAGTCTAAAATAATAAATTGCCATATTTAAAGCAATACCTGTTAGTCACTTAATACAATAACTTACCATCCATTTGTATGTTAATTTTATAACTTAATTTTGTTTTACTCAAAACATAATTATAACAAGTTTTATATTAGGTAGGCTATATATTTAAATGAATGTTTTAAAACCAGTAGCCAACATTTATAATACTAAAGTACATGTAGTCATGAACAAATATATGTACACATAAAGATTTACTTAGGAATAATATAATTTACAGTGCAGCTTTTCCTTCTTTTTATATTCTAACATTTGCATTGCTTTGCATTATAATTATGGGGAAGATAGACATAATAAGTGCCTTTTATAACGTTTCTGCAAAGCGAGGGTTCGAATAATTTTAAATAATTTATTACAATTAAGAATTTTATGTACTTATAATAGGTGTATTAAATGTATGCGTTGTATATTTTTGCTTATCCATAATGTATAAACACTATGATAATATTTTGCTTACAAAAGGGAAATTCTAATATATATACACTAGCGAACATAAATATAGTTATAAAGTTGTAATATCGTTTGTAGAAGGTTGTCGTCAAGGCTCGCAAACTTCATGAATCCCAATGTTCAGGAAAATATAAGAAGGCGATTTATATTCGAAGGCAGTATGGGCCTCACTCGTTTTTCTATCAGAAATCTGAGCGGGCCGTGCGTGATCCGTAAAAATGTAGGTAACTGATGTATATTGGGGTCATTTTTGGAATAGCTAATAGGGATTGTAATATCGCAATATCTACTTAATTTTTGTTAACCTTAAAAGTCTATAAATACTATGACTGAGTAGAATTACTTCTAGATTCGTATATTTATAGTAGGATCACGAAAAACAGTCGCTTCCTGTTAAAAGGCAGGCCGCGAATGACAAGCAAGGGGTGGCAATATAATAATTTCTATTAGGAAGCGGGAGCCGCCCCGAGACAAAAGGGATACGTAACTTTTATATGAGACGACCGCTGAATAACAACATTGGGTTTTCTTCGTAAATATCTCAATATGAGTTAGAATAAATTGAATTCCTATCACGCGCGACGTTTCCTTTTAGCGAGCGTCAGCTCCAAACCACTTGTTTTGATTTACGATTATTTATGTAAACAAGACATACTTTTTATTAAGAGGATGTTCATTGTTCGACGACTAATTTGCCGTATTTGTGTAGCCGTCGTAAATTCATCTCGCCTACCGGGCTTTTTATATTTACATTTTTGCTTTCACTTCAAAGTTAATTAGACTTTATAGAGCGTTCCTACCCAATTCCGTTTTTACTCTCGTCTGACGCACGGAAAGACTTATTCATTGCAGGGAGGTCGAGGGGGTGCGGGTGGAAGGAGGGCTGACTTGGCCCGAAATAGCAAATAAATGAGACGAAAATGTAAATGTTGCGCTTCTGAGATGAAAAGCGCCGCTCGCTCGTTCTTGTTAAGCTCATCGCAAATGTAGCAGAATTAGAAGCGTGGAAATCATTTTCAGGCCAGATGTAACGAACAAGATTCTTCGCTAGACATCTGAGCGCGCCGAATGTTCCAGGATATCCTACAGCTAATAAGAATGTTCGGTAATTGCCTTGACTTGAAAGACTGGCATTTCTTATTGGATAATTTAATAAGAAGCTCAAAAGCCATCAAAGCTGTGTTAATTATTCTATTCAGGTTATTACTTTTCTAAATAAATAATTAAATACTTAGTAAATAACGTATCTATAAGTTTTTAGCGAGCTTCTTGGTCTAAAAGCAGCCATAGCACCACTACATAAATAACCTACGTGTTAAAATAGATAAATTAAAAAGAAAACCTTTTTACCGTAATTTGAGTAAAACAAATACTTCTCTGTCCTTTTATATATTAAAAATATCCTAGTATGTCTAAGTATCACTGTTCGAAATATTCTTAAAATAATTAATTGAGTATTAAACGGCACTATAAAATAATATAAACATTTACTTCCTATATACTTAGTACATGTTATATAATGTCTTATGTGTAAAATAAAATAAGAAACTATCTTATTCCCGAAAATAAAGATTATTATGGAAGACACGTTTAGAAGCAAAACAATGGCGTCCAAATGTGTTGCTCGATATCAGATTTCTGTGACCGTTAGTGTACGTACGGATTTCAAGAAATACTTTGTGTAATATCGAAAATAATCATCAAACAAGTTTAACTAAAATACATCGCGTTTGAAACCGTTAAAGTGTTTTATTTAAAATAAACTGTGATTGTAAATTGCTTCTCATACATATATGATTTGTGTTTCAATATGATTAATAAAGTTATCCAAACAAGTCTTAATAAAAGTCCACAAAACCACTAGTGGACATATGTCGTCGCATAATATTGAAACATAGCGGGCGGTCTTTTCCCCCGCCGCTTATCTCATATTGCAATACGCGCAATAACCGATATAATGCAATTGCTTTGCCTTTCATATTTGCACAAAATGAAATTTTGAAATCAATAAGCTGTTTGAAGCTAGGCATATTCTGATTACAATCGAACATGTTTTGAAACTTTCCTAAAATAGGTTACCAGTATGAGTCAAAATATTTAATTGATAGTTAACTTATTTGATTGATTCGCCAACATTCACATCAGCTAAAATGTCAATCTTAAACAAAATTTAAAATTGAAATAGAAAGTAAAGAACAGTTTAAGTAAAGTAAAGCAACAAATATGTTTTTCGTTACCGTCTAGTGACCGCGGCTAAACATCGAAGCTCAATTTTGCAGCAGTGCTGATCGCTGTGGATGCCGGTTCATATTCCGCTCTTGACGTCGAATGTTTCAAAAGATTTTTAGTTCATTGTACTTTGTCTCCTTCACGGTTCTAATTGTGAACATTAGAATAATTCTTAACTTATAAAATAATATTTTATATTCCAGCAACAAGGAAGGAGTTTTGCAAATTTTATTTAACGATATACAAAAAGACTTTATGGCTCATTTGTTTTACGTATAAAGTTTGTTCTCAGCACGCGGTGCATCTATCTCGTAATAAACTCGGACATAAACCGCCAAAACAAAGAGATGCATTTATCTCCGCCCCCCGAATATTACATCCGACAACATAAAACATGCAGTTTAGGACTCGCGAGACTGAACTATTCATTTAGGCCTTTGTCTCATTATATATATGGTGTTTAATTATTTCATACTAACGGCGCCTTCAAGCAAATATAGAGGCATATTTAGTTTCACGGGTAATGATCAGATTTTTAATATAAAACCAGGGATAAAATAATAGCATAGATTTAAGAAAAATAAACGTTTCGAATTGTTACTTCGCTGTGATATAAAATTTTGTGAAGTTAGACAAGTATTAGTAAATATCAATTAGATAATCTCTTAACAAAAACATACCTATACCGAATTCAAATTACACACCCTGCAAATACAGTACAATTTACATTATACATTAATCTACGTACGGAGGGTAGGTGAAGACATATTCAAAGTGAACTACGTATTATCATAAAACAGATATCTCCTTATCGAATTCAATTACAGTATCTCGGATAGGTTTGCTTTACTGAAATTGGATTATTAACTTAGATAAATGCATATTCATGATTATTTTATAATAATATCTTTATGTAATGTGTGCAGGTACTTCATATGCATTAAAAACAAGAAACCCTTTATATACCTACTTGTATGTTTTTATTATCGTTACATGTTAAAAAAAATCTTGTTTAAATAACGCACCATAATATGGTTAACAAATATTAAAGAAAATTATACATTACAAGTTAGTGGGGATTTTCATTCCGTGAGTTTCAAGAACAGCAAATTGAACAAAACGCATTCGTTCCTTATACCCATAACTGTAAATTATTCTTTATAATCTGACGAATTAAACAAAAAATATTTCCCTGTATTTTTTTTTACTTTAAAGTCTTAAACAACGTGAGAAACGTTTGTATTTATACGGCCTGCAATCTTACTTGTTATATACCAACTAAGATATGGTTCATTTGAAGTAGAAGGTTTATAAATGTTCTCAGGATAACACGGTTTATCTCAGTCAACAACCTGTCTAATTATGGTGGCGACAACCCACCGCTATCTGAAAGTACATCGTTGCAACTGTAATGGCTGCAAGATCCTTGATATTGCACTTCTTAGAAATTCAAGTGCAATGTTTTTGCAAGACGTTTAGGTAGTATATATACTTACAAATATCAGTAGGTACGTGTTTTTATACAGCATGAAATATTATTTTTTCATATAAAGTACGAATTGTGTAAGACTTTTACATATTATTGATAGTTTTGTGTATATAAAGAAGATGTATTTGTCTTTTTAAATTTCGTTAGGTATATAATAAGTATTGACTTATAACCGTACTTTATCTTGAATAAACGAGTTAGCAGCTAGGGTAAGGGTTATTAGTTTATAATACCTGCAGACATACCATAAAATATAATTCTTTAAAACCTGTATTCCCGTTAATTTAATAATTAGAAAGTAAATAAATTATATTTTATGACTGTGACGAAGATATGTATAATTTTCATGTATTTATTGATAGAACTAACATTTGACAACTTATAAATATACACTACAAGACTACATAACTAAGCAGTAAATACATGTAACCCCTTTTCTTATAATTAAAATTAAAAATATAACTTGCTATAAATTGTCCAAATAACATTGAGATGTTTTTAAAAGGCCGCATTAAAAAGCTCTGTTGACAGTTTAAATTTATAAACACCAAAATTAACTCTCTAATTTGAGAACGAACTTTTTAAATTTCTTTCTGAGTGGGTAATACAATTTGAAATAATGCCATCAGGTGACCTGTTTTCAATGCGTGGAGATCTTTTTATATGAGTGTTGAGCTTAATTACTACATACTACTTTAGGGCTTTATTATTCCAGTATATATCTACTTGAAATGACATAAACAATAAAATTAAACTGTTCTTGGTTAATGTAGCTTACTATGTTATTTTGTATCTAATGACTACGTACATATTTAAATCTTTAAATTACCTGTTCTGTAGCTAAAACCGTGTCTAAATTTTTGGTACAAGATGTCGTTGTTCAAAGCACATAGACTGTGCGTCTACCATAAATTACTTCTTTATATCTGTAACAAAGTTGACGACAAAAAATTGAATAAACGGCTTTGTTTTACAAAATAACGCATTACTACTTAAATGTAATATATTATACACGTTTTTAGCATTATATTTATGGGTACAAAGTAACGAACAATAAAGTAATATTATGTACATTTAAATAAATATTAGGTAACGACAAGCTTGGACCACGAAGCCCTCAATAATGTTTTAACAATGTTCATTTACTAAGTAAAAAAGTAAGATTAAGTTTAATATGAAGTTATTATAATTAATTTTTATTACTTAATCTTAACTATCACTTATTCTCTTTGTTTCAGGAGTGTGACGGGTAAGGTTCGGGCGCGGCAAGCCTCGTGGTCGACCCTTACTAACAGGTGAGGAGTCGACGCCACACAGAACATGATACTAAGGTTTGATTTTAAACTTTATTTTCTTGTTGTTATATTTAGTTTTGCTTGCATCTCTTTCGCTTTTTCTTCTAAACGTAATCTAGATACTAGTTTAGGATAAGTATCTAAGAACATGAGAACTAAAGTTAAAACATTAAATTTGATTGATACTTTAAAATATTATAAGATCCATGCCACTTTCAAAAACAGCTTAGTATTACTGTGATTAGAGAAATGCCTTTCTATTGTAATAAAAAATAGTTTATTTGCATGAAACACGCACCTCACAACCTATTTCATTTCGCTGTGAAATATATTTCCTTTTGGTCGTCTCCCTCCGACAGTTTATGGCGAAACTTGGTAAAATAACAAACACATCGGATTATTTTTTCTGACACGAATGTAAAAAGGACAGGTAAAAACATAAAATGCATAAAATTGTGCATCGGGGACGTGTGCGCGTTGTCAAATATTACTCCTTTTTTAGGTATATTGTAAAATGTATATAACTTACACGTTTAAGAGTACGACTCAAATCTTTATGTTATTGAATATAGCGGTCGCCCTTTAAAACTTTCAAAAACATAACAAAAACTCATAAGTATTATATGTTTATACGTCAACTTAAACACAAGCTTCCTTCGGTTTATAGCTAATGAATGTGTAACGAAAAGAAATTAACTTTAACATAAGGAAATTATTGTATCACAAGAGAAATAAGTTACGGAAATTATGGTTCGAAAGGGTAACATTATACCGCTCATGTTTGCCGCCGGGGCATGTTAATTTAATGCTTTAATTTATCGCTCAGCAAATTATATACAAAAAGTCACACAACATTGTTGATTGTAGTATCGACGGGGACATTTTAATCTACGTTATAATGTCAGCAAGATATGGAAATATTAATAAATTAGCATGATAATGCTCAAATTATAAACAGTGATTTCCAACAAACACGTGTTAATTAAAGGTGATTGTTTATTTAATAACTTAAAACCAATTAGTATATATTACTTACCAATCTCATGATGTAGGTAAACGGCTGGGTTACGTAAGGTAACATATAGGTAAGCTTAACATGTTTCATGATTTCAATTCAAGATTTGTATTGAAATACCCCAAGTACGAGTTAACGAAAACGTTAGAGGTAATTGTTGCAAGTATAGGCAAATCTAGATGTCTAGGACCTATCGACATGTTGTAGTTTAGGACTAAAATAAATTTAAAATGTTTATGTAGCAGAAAGAAAAATTGGCTAATCATCAACTTCGAACTAATTTTAACCAAAACCGAAAGTGTATTTTTTAGCTAAAGCATATAGAGAGATTTCGTCAACTACCAAACTCATACTAGGCTCCCAAAAAAAGTTAATCCTACGCATAGCGTAAACAGCATTCTAATTTATAGATCGAATATCGAATCGACGATCTATTCCGGCCGAACTCTTGTCCTTGATATAATCTGTGAATGGATCGAATACAGATTAAATAGACCACACTGACACATGGCTTAGTATGTGACTCAAGTGCGCATAACCTAATCTGGTAGGTAAGTGATCGAGGGAGTTCCGATGGGAACATTCGTTTCTGTATTTATTTGATGGCCATTGGCTTTTGCTATTAAATAATTCATACAGTACAATATTGATATTCGTAAGCCGTAAATAATGATATCAGAAGCGCTGAGGTAGGTATGACTGTTTAAACGTAATTTTTACGTACCCGCGTTGATAATGAAATATTGCATTGAATGATAAAAACATTATTTATGTAGTTGACGTCATACATAATAAAAATACAGTATATTTTTCTTAGTGACTGAAATACCTCTGAAGGTATTTACAAAACTCCTTCGCTGGCTCTCATGAATCATAAAGGAATGATACTTATTTAAATTATAAGCATAGTTATTTACTAATATAATTCAAATATGTTTATTTCTTTAAAGCTTAAGGAAAATGTCTACGGGAAAATTACTTGTTTTCACTCTTAATTCAAAGTTATGTTTATAGTGTAACTTTCTTTACCCTAACCCGATTTGTGTAGACTCATCACATAATATTATTATTAATCTCTCCGTCTTAAATTAACTACGAAGCTCAATGTAGAATACATAAAACATAAGGAGTAGGGACTGTTATATACCTATTAGTATGTATATATAGAAAATTTTAGGATGAATCTCGTTATCGGTGTTTTCGGACAATCGCCACTGGACCGTTTCTAAATCGCAGTTAGAATTGCAAATGAATCGGCCGTTTGCTTTCGTGTCGTAAACTCTGGGATATGATCCAGTCAGTTCTCGCGCCATTAAACTCTCGGACGAACTCACACTCCCCTTACTGTTATTGTAAATATGTCTTTATGTTACGTAAACAGATCTGTCTACGTCATACGTGTTACGGATAAACATTATGCAAATTTTTGGCAACACTTTCATCTAAAATTCTAATTTATCTCTGTTCTATGTCTTATATGGCCATATTACGCAGTATCGTTATAAAATAAAAAAAATATATTTTATAAGTAGGTTATATGTGTAGTCATATACATACTTATTTTCAATCGCACAAGCACTTTCCTATGTGCCGTATTCGAGCCGAAGTCGAGGCGTGGGAGATTTCGTTGCTCTAAAACAAACATACACATAGATAAGCAATCCTGACAGCCTGATATGTACGTCCCAACTAGTCCTGTCACCACACCAATGAAACTATTTCGTCAACCAGTTCACGCTGACCCCTTTATAAAATATCTGTGCTTATGGAAATATGTTAGCGACAGGTCTAATTAAATTGGTAATGAAAACAGTCATGGCCCGCGGCGGCTTTCGCTTTGGAATTGAGTCGTAAACGTCGCGGCGACTGCTCTGTTCTATGGATATAATACTATTTACCTATACGCGGATAGGAAAAAATATAGAGCGTTGCATTCTCAGGTTTCTGTAACAAAAGGAAAATAATAGCACTAGGCATGTTAGTATTTTCTGAGACTTACGTGTTTACATGTATAAGTATAAATAAGTAAGAATTATTACAGTTAATATAATTAGTATGATTCAATATCTACTACCTGAACTCTGAATGTTCAATATCTTGTGTTGTGTATCACTTCCATGGGCGTTCAGTAGAGCTATGGTAAGCAACCAAAACAATATATAACAATATGATGAAAATGATATGATTTTCTAAATTATAAATAAGAATTTGTTTTTGCCCATAATTAAAATAAAACTTATCTCATAATATCAATAAGTTGTTTTTTCGTTCTTCAATCTTAATATTTAGGTTTTATATAAATATAGCACGCAGTTGATAGTTACCTATATAGGTTAGGTTAGCAAATGAAATACTCTTCGAAGATTACGGAAACTAAAGTAATTGTTACAAAACACGAAACATTTACGATCGCAACACGTCAAATCTCTTAATCGTTAAAAGATCTGTAAACGTTTTTTTTTTTTTTTTAAAAACACCGTATACTACCTCCACACCCCGATGACGGAAAAAACCGAGGCATTCGGGGCAAATCGCCTATTTTATGTAAACTTCGTGACTTTCCGCCATATCGAATGACTTAGAAAGGATTTATTTCTATCGAAGTAAGGCCAAATACGAGGGAATCAGGGCTTTGTGAGTGATGGGTGGAGCACGGCCTCCGAAAATAAACTGACATGTGTTCGGCTAATGGTACCGGTTGAGGCGATCTACTTTTAACCTTGTTCACGATGATATAATAAAATCTTCATAGACCTAGTGGGCAATTCTTAACAGTGACATAATATCCACTTTGGCGCTTGTAGAAACCAAATCCAGGGTTTGTACAAACTTGACATGTTTAAATATTCTTTTTAAATTTTTTAATATGACTTATGTACTTATATGTGCTGACAAATAACTTGTTTGTTAAATACAAATTATTACTTCAATATTTTAGGTTTCGGATAACTTCTTACCTATTTAGATACTTTGCTTGTGTGTAGGTAACATTTAACTAAAGCTTGCGGATTCTTTCCTTTTATTCCGTGAAATACTCAGTAATACTATAAACTAACTTTACATAACCTAAAGTAATCTATAAAAATATATAATTATTTTAATGAATAAAACTAATGCCCAATTAAATTTTATTTACAGGTTACAGTGCCCGTTCACGCAGACGTCGCTTGCTAGTTTACGACAAGGTGAATATTGTGATATAATACCTACTAAACGATCCAAATTAAAGTCCACGAGTGTAACCTTAAATACCTATATTAAAAAAATATACCTCAATTACATGATACTTATTATTAGTTTTCAATACCATTGCCATGAATTTATCGTCACAGTGTCATGAATCCTTCATATATGTCAGACTGATAATATTTAAATAAAACATTGTGCTGTACAGACGAGTTTTTAACGAGACTTATAACAAGTCGAACCTATGCGTTCTATGTGAATATATTCTTTCTGTTTATCTAGCCAGACTAGCTTCAAATCTCTCATGTAAATATAGGCAGTGGATCGAATTCTGTTTGCGCAAACGCTGAGATAAGAAGTTCCTATTTACATGCATCGTACCGACCATTGGCCTGGAGAGTTTCCTAACGTAAATATTTATAGACAGGCGCGGCTCATGCGCACACTTGTTCCTCTGTTTGTGTCTGTCATTCAACGAGACTGTAGCCAGCGTCGCTGTACAGATTAAAAACTAGATAACAGCTTTCTTTCGACACCCAAGTTAGAATTCAAGCATCGCGATGCAACCAGTTTTTATAGGATTGCTGCATTTTAATTATTTCTACACGTTTTCATCACTAATTTAAAATTGATTCTACATACGAATACTTAAATATTCATATAAACATTTCATATGGAGATTGAAAAAAACACAGACGTGGTTTTCAAAAATACTTCTTCAGATTACTTAGATCACACTTAATTTATTGCATTTCATCACGGTGAATAAATATGTCTGCTAAACTATTGCGAATAGTAAGTCCGTCCTTCTTAATCCTTGCGAAAATACTTTACACACGTCTATTGTACCAAATTCAACCGTTTTATTATTGTTAATGCACCATAATTACTGGCACAGAATGGTTAAGTGTGAGAAATTAATTCTTTAACCTGACATCACATATTTTATTTTGACAAGTCGGTTACAATTATTATAATGTGATGAAAGAGCACACCAAGAGTTTTACCATTACTTAGCTTGTTATGTATGTTTTTCTTTTGTTAACTTGACATATTTTATAGCTGTTCCTTGTGTAAACAGAACATGTATTTTGTATAGGTGTGAAATATTGTAAGCGAATTTATTGGGTGTAGTACATTGTTCGGTATGTCAAAGATCGTGTTTGATGTAGAGGGGTGGTGTCTGACGATTATTGTTACGCCCGTAAGGTTGAATATGTCAACCGCGACTATGTTTCGCAATCTTCACGCGGAATGCCTAAAGGTGTTAGCGCGTAAACGAATAAATATAACTACGTCACGATACAATCTTTTCGACAGTGAAAGTCATAAGATAGTTCAAATAAAAATTATGACTCAGAAACCGCGACCTTGTCATTGACACAGATTATAATTATAATTTTAATAGGTACGTCTACAGTCTAGGATTGTTCGCGGTGAAATTAACAGACGATAAAATTAAGTTTATATTCACAATAAAACGTGAGTGAGTTGCCGTCATAAAGTCTCGCGTTTTTTATTGATGGTAACACGACGATGGTCGAGTGACGCTTGCAGTTTGGTTAAACGGCAGTTTATGACTATTTTACCTCCATTAATCGCTTTACTACGTAATGCCCGCGCCCAGGAGCTAGGAGGAGACGACTCTACAATTGGGTAGAGTCATTTAAATCCTTAGCCATAGAAAACTTTTGTTTCGATAGTGTTTTAATATTAGAACAAAATCTGACTTATTCGTAAAAATATTAAGCTCTTTTTTAAGAATGAAGAATATTATCAAATGTTATTTCTTCACCTACTTATATTATAATAAATAGAAAGACTTGATTTAATAGTTTTATTGTGATTAAAGTGATTTTAAAGTTATTGAGTAAAATATTACGCGCCGCACTAAGAAAATGCTAAGTGCGGGCGGGCGGGCGTTTATCACGAAAACCGTGCTACGTAGACGTATGACCCATCCTCCCGCCGCTAGATGTCGCGTCACGCTGCGCCTGTGTGCGCACTTCGGCGCACACCATCGCGCCCGACGCCGCCACTCCGCGCTCAACCGCGCTGCCGATCGCGCGCTTCGTGTATCATATTGTTCTCTGTTCACGCGTATACGAAACACTCGTGGATACGATTTTCTAAACAAACTTTTCAACTAATTTCCAATCAGTCTGGACTATACTAACTTATCACAGTTACAAACTCGAATTTAAATTCGGAAGCGTTAAGTGTTACTTGGACTTTATTTCTAAGACATTATATTCTGCGATAGTTTTCCAGTTGGTCGTCTGTTTTCTCGTCCGGTCGCCTGGCTAAATTTGGAACCGCGTTTTGACTTTCATGTGCTGCCCCTCCGTGGTCGCGTGTGCGCGTGGTGCGATGTGCCCGCGACGCGCGTGAACTGCCGGCCCTCGTTCCTGCTCCCCCGTGGCTTGCCCGGCCGCCACCCTGTACCCTGACAACCATGTCGGGGGCCTCGGCGCGCCCTGCGATGCGGCTGCCGCGTCGCCAGCGCCCGCCTCCGGGCATTCCGCCGGGCCTGCCTGGTGGACAATGATGAACGGCGTCGGCGGCACGCTCTATGAAGAGCCGCATCCCTCGCCGCCAGGTGGTTCGCCCCCTGCTGCACCGGCGGCCGCTCCGCCGTCAGCCTCGAGCGCCTCACCAGCGTCTGTCGGTTCGAATCCCCCGCAACCCCTTCATATCCCGGCAAAGCGATATGAACCTGAACCGGGAGTCATACGACACGCTCAGCAATCGTGGGGATATCCGCCAGATGCAGCGGCATCCTTTGAGCACCAGTATCCTGCTGGTCCCACATACTATAACCTACCAGTTGAGAGGGAACGTAAATCCACTTTACCTTTCTGGCCAGCGAGTGGCGGAGAATATAAGCCCTACGCGGATGGTTGTCATCAGGGGTTCTCGCAGCCCTGCTGGAACTACCCATATGGAGCACCACGGGGAGACCAGCCATTGTCCTATGTTGGTGGAGAAGAACGTCGTGCCGCAGTCTCTGAGGCGTCAGGGTTCTCTCACGATGCCTACGGTCTACGAAACTATGCACCGGAATCAGTATCGAGTGCGCCCTATCCACCTCCAAGCGGGTTACCAGGTTAGTCGCTACATATATAATAACATTTCTTAATAATCGCACAGAAATATAACAAGTTTTTCACCTTCGGTCGCCTAGCGACATGTTTGTAATCTTGTAACTTATCGGCATGTGCACCTAAACATAGCTAATTTGTAAACAAAATTCTTATATGAGTCCATACTTCTTTTTCTTACTCAATTTCTCATTTTTACTTAGGTAAAAGAATTTCTACATATAGATATTAATATATTAAAATTTTATTTTCATATTTGATATAATAAGTAAAAAAAAATTATTTGGCTAATAGTCAATTTTTATGATGGGTTTATCAACCTTGACCCTTGTATTATAGTTGTTTCCTATTAACTACTAGATGGCGCTGGATACACACAAGCACGCAAGAGCTATCAGTGTGTGTCTCTCACACAGGCACAACAAGCCGAGTGGTGTTTGCGCCTGTGTGGGTGTTATTATCACTGCAAAGCGAGTGCAACGTAGTTATTCGTTCTTTATATCTTTCATATAAATTAAAATCGCTGTTGCTATAGCAAGCATAATCACTTTTATAAAACATTGGAGTTATATTAAATCTTTAGTGTATTGAATGATCATCATCTTAATATTACAAATTGTCCAAGAGCTTTTCTTGTACAATTTTCATTACATTTTTATAAAAATAATTATGTAGGTCACGTAATATTAATTCGTAAATCTAAAGTACATATTAATTGGCATATAATAATTATGCGCGATGCCCATATTTGCATTCAAACCAAAAGTAGCAAAATCACAAATCAAAACATTTCCCCACACGGCATCATAAATTTGATGAATGAACGAAACACGTGCTACAAATGTTTAAAAACGAACCGTAAGCGCCGTTTTATAGGCAATGTAAAACGCTACTACCGACAATAAATTAAAGTTTACGTAAAATTAAGCGCCAATAAAAATGTATAACTAATAAATAAACACGATACCTGAGCTTTAAGACAATAAACCGTTTGAGTAGATAGTGGTTGTAATAAACCAATTTGCTTCAATAAATAGATAATGGGCTGATGAGGCGATAAAAAATGCAAGTTTAGGATGAGAGATCCGAACTTTCGGAGTACATATTAATTTTATGACATCATTAAATCACAACTTGCACCAAAACTGGTTCTCTACTAAATACGAATATACATCATAGAAACGAAATAAAGAAAGATACATTCATTCAATCCACTCGAAAAAAAATGCATGATCAAGTAAATAATAAAATACTTCTTACTTTAGCTATCTTCTTAGGATAATGGTAGGTACAGGTCTGATTACAAGGCCAATGTGAATAAATGGATAAATAAAAGGTATCAAATCACTTACACATTTTGGCTAGAACTGAAATTATAAATGAAGTACACTTTCCATATAAAAGAGAAAATGTTACAAAACCAAGTAGAAGTGGATGAGTATCTTATAAATAAATACAGAGTTCGACAACAAAACTTATCGATAGTGCCTTATCAAAGTTCTAATAAAGATGAGTTTATCGGTCAATTACAGCAGACGTATAACTTGACATAATTTTGCGCAAAGCCTGCATAATATTATGGGCCATTAAGACGAAACAATTGTTGAAAAAGTTAAACGAGGTGTTCACGTCATTTTATGATTGTATGTTTATGGCCCACCTGAGCTGACATTGACTTTGATTTGTAAGGCTTTGTGAACACTGATTAACGCCTTGATAGCTACGTAACTTTGCTAGTTTTTGTATATATACCCAACTCTTTACAAACAACAGACGAGTATTCAGTGAAATTTAAAAAAAAAAATTTATAAAAGAATTATTTTATTTTTCATCATGTTAGTTAGATGTAGCAATGACAAGTTAAAAGTAATAATTCTTCAATGTCTTCGGCATCTGGGTCTTGTCCACTATCTATGGGTATGAACCATTAAAACATACACAGTTTATCCTTCAAGGCTGGTCGGTTGACGGGAGAGCGTGAATATCAAATTCATAACAAACTTAACAAATTAGTTGGGATTATGAAAACAACTTATCTAAAAGGTCGAACAATTTGTCGATAAGCGGCCTTCTAATTTAGATATAAAATAAATTCATCTTGTTTAAAATCGCAAATTCTTGACACGTTACTGAAACAATGAAGAGACATAAGTGATTTACATTTAAAGGGAATTTCAACCTTATTACTGAGCAGTAAGAAACGAGTCGGTCTCTTGACAAGTTCAGAAGATAGCTGACTCCGCGGTCGGGTAGGTAACTTTTATGGGCGAACGGAACCCGCACTTTTATTGCCGATGATCGCTACCTATCCCCTGTTAATTGACAAGTCGAGTTGTCATTACGTTGTCTTTAAACAATTGTAGCGTTCGTGGAAATAATGTAGCTAGATGCGCCAACGGTTGCGAAATTGCAGCTTGTCCCACTTATTTAAATTTATGTGACCGCGTTTCCTAGCAAATTATGAATGCTAGAGTCTACATACCAGACATAGTAAAGCCTTTATTTAACTAGTATTCAAAACTTATTTTGATAATGTATTTTTCGCAATATAACAAAGCAATTATGGGTGATAATGCATCATACTTAAATGTAATAACTTTCAAAAGTATACTCCAAGCTTGTCTCTTCTGTCATAAAAATATATGTTCAGAAAATAGTCCACAGCTAAAATGCCAATGTAATTTACCTTTAAAATTACGTAGCTACCTAAGTGGAACTATGTTAGAATTCATAATAGACATGAAGTTAAATAAAGTAGGATATTAAGGATTTTAAAGCGGATAAGCTGTTATTAGAAGTTTGAAGTATAAAAAATCAAACAGTAATTTTATTATCTTGATTACGTCACGCATCATTGTTCTAGTGGTACCTAGCACAGCAACAGCTAAAGTTTATTGGTTTCATTTATCATATTAAGTGTGTCGTATAAGATTGAGAGCCAGTAAGATGTCAGAGGAAAATAAATAATTGGACGTTAGTTGTAGGTTCTTACGACAGCGGTGTGCGCGCTCACTCGTTAGACAATGTGGCATCTATTTCACAACGCACCCAGTACCGGTTTCAATAATAGGAAATGGTGCAGTTTGCATCGAGTATAGAGAAGAACGCTGATCGCATACGAAGTATTACATTAGTGATATCATCAAAGATACCGCGTCCACTGATCGGGCTTTATGTACCTTCGCACCAATTGTTTCCGATCTATTATACGCATAGAAATAGTCTGATTACTTTCTATTTATATAGTACACTGAAAATTAAAAACCTAATTAAATCTATCAATGTTTCTTAAAATAACTTAATATTCTGCGGCCTCATCGTTCCAAAAGATCCTTTGACTAACACCATTTTTTTTCTCTGTCGATATCATAACTTTACGCGTTATATTACAAAACTGAATTAAAGATTCATTTATTAAAGACTATCACGATTTGCTTAAAATATTAAGTTTTATATGGCAGAAAGCATCACAGTAGTCGGCCATCACGACAAATCCCCTCTCTTCACACTCACGCCACCTACATTAAATCAATAGAAAATTCTTAAATGTATTTTTAATTATCTTTATTTTGCGCAGGTTCGCTGTCAATGTCCGTGGGTGTCGGCGTAGGCTGCGGCTCCTCAAATCCCCTAGATTGGACCGGCCAAGTAACAGTGCGGAAGAAACGCAAGCCATACTCAAAGTTCCAAACGCTCGAACTAGAAAAAGAGTTCCTCTTCAACGCTTACGTATCGAAACAGAAGCGGTGGGAGCTCGCACGAAATCTGAACCTAACCGAGCGGCAGGTGAAGATATGGTTCCAGAACAGACGAATGAAGAATAAGAAGAATTCACAGCGGCAAGCGGCTCAAGCGGCGCAGAATAACAACAACAATTCGAACGCCAACAACCACAACCACCATGCGGGGCATCACCACGCAGCGCACCACGTGGCGTTGCACCACGCGGCACCCACCAAACACCATCAGTGACCCGCGCCCTTCTCTGGGACCTACCCCCTTCACCACGGTATAGCCAGCTAAATCCGAGGAAGGTCAGACCCCCAGTTAAAGACTCAGTGTGTTGTGTTGGTCGTACTTAAGAGGATTGACGTCCAAAATCGTTGTCGATTAGAGCTACCGTGACTTACGTAAATCGGACGCTTTTCCGGACCGGTGCCGGCGCGCCGCGAGTCCCAGAGAATCTCATAGTAAGATAATCATTGTGTTGTCGATTTGTGTATAGTATTAATTACGAAACGTTCTTGTAATTTTAATGTATGCGTAGTTACGATTCCTGATATTGATAGACGCTTAGTAATACAGATGTATTTGGTTTTATTTAAGTCGAATAATGCGATGTCAGATATTAATCTAGATAGTTTATTGAATTTTGTATAATATTTTGTGAGACTGCTTTATTGTTGTATTCTTATGATTGTTCGGAATGTGGTTAAGTCTTAATCGGTTACATTTATTTTCGTTACCAAATTGTTGGATTCGAGTTGCTTCAGTGGCAGTTGATATTTTTGTACTAAGTTCGAATGTAGAGTCTACGTTTGAGAGCAGCCATTTAGTTAATTAAGTACATAATACTTATGAAATTGTCACAAACACGGCTCTATATTCCCCCCGATGATATCGAAAGCAAGTAACTAAGCTACTTATGATCAAATATTTATTACTGTTTAATTTCTTATTTCATAAATTTTGTTATTTACATAATGGATTTCTGACAGAGCTTTAACTCGGTTCCACTAGTGTATACATTAAGTTACTGTTATTTGAAAATATTGGAGTTGATGTTATAATCAATTTAATTAGGTAATGGGCAAGTGCATTAATGTTGTCCCCCTATTAACTCATTGTACTGTTCGCTTAAGCCGATCTTTTTGCTTTTATTTTTTGTTTTGGATATTTTATTATTTATTTATATACAAGATATTTGCAGTCTATTGGATAAGTTGTATTTCGCTCTAGTACATCGAATTGAAGCGTGCAAATGTAGGTGTACTTTGTACAGTTAATTGAAGTATATAGTGATGTAAGTATCGATAAAAATATTTATCTATGACATGAATGGAGTCATACCAGTCTTAGATTGTCAATGTACTTTAGCTACTTATTCGTACAACTTTCCTATTTTATCGTATATCTATGTAATAAATGTTCTATCGTAAACTTCGTAGTTCGCTAAATCTTTATTGTTCTGTAATAGATAATTAGGTGTTTTGTACAAAATGGCGACCTCGTCTAGGCGACCGAATTTCTACATAAGTGCAAGGCATCTTAGCGAATGTATTCAACCAGTAATTACTAGGACTATGACCACACCTAACGTTGAATTTGCAGTCGAGTTTATTTACCGTTCAATAATATGAGTGGGTTTTTCATTATTGTTTTTGGAGAACAATACCACATTAAATCTCTCTAACAACAGTGGAGATGATTGAGAATAACCGTGATTTTAATTAAACAAATGTCATTATTAATAAGGATATAAAACGTGCATTGCTGCGTGTGGTTTTGTCTTAGTAAGGGAATGTTTGATGCAGAAAAACATGTAATAAATATTAACATATAGCTTCAAATAATTAATGATATAAAAGAGACATATTTGAAAATCAATTCTGTAGATATAGCACCATACGTTCTTCCACAGATAAATCAAGAATCAAACGAGACTATACCACCATAGACTCTTCCAGTGGTTAGACCGAATTTTCCCGAAATATAATATTTATCAAGAAATGTAATCGACTAAGTTTCAGCAGTATTTTGATTAGGGTTTCACGCATCCCTTAAATACAAGTGCATAGTTTTATTCAGAATTGTTTTTCAATAGCGCCTGACGAAAACTGTAAAATAATTTCAGTAGAGTTTCAAACATATAAACTTCTTATTGTAATTACTATCTATGGTCTCGATAACAGTGTACAGATAAATTAATTTAGTTATTTAACATCACGCCAGCAAGTGTGAAGTTTTGATAAGTAACGATGTATAATAATTAAAACATGAATGTGCGCTCGACAGTTTATGACGAATTTAGAAAAGATTGTATGAAAGGGAAAAATTAAATATTTCGTCGTGTCCTGGCTTATTTTCTTTAGCATACATTTATTTCGCTAATCACGTAGATCCCTAATATTAAAATAAATGAGAGTGATTTAAAAATCGAAAATAAATGGAAAAAGTTTTCGACTCGGGCAGCACTTGGACAGGCATCGTCACCGATCCCTGCTCTCAATGCTTTCTGTAAATGAGGGTGTTTAATTATACTGTATAATATTACGTTTGTGTATGTATACATAAAGGTAAAATACTTAACAATGGCGTATGGTGGCCTAAAAAGGAACAAGACCACAGGTAAAATTACTGATATAATATCAAGGGGGGGTTTCCTTAATGTAACGAATAGGCATTGATTTTCAAACCGGTTCATACGTTTACCAACAAAGCACCGGGTTCGACTGGGGAAACTAATAAAAATAATTGTGCCTGTCAGGCACATTTGATAAATTACCAGATTGTCAAAGAAACGGACACACAAATATATCAGCTCAATACAATTTGCTCCGCTACCAAACGGTACCAGAAGGTAGGTGTGTACCTAGGTATCAAAGGCATAGATATTTTTCTTAGACATACCTATTATTTAATTATTAGTATTGACGGTTTGCCGTCAATTAAAGAGTAAGTAGGTAACACTTATTTAATTCCTTAGGACCACATTTTACTTTTTTATAGCTAACAATAATATAATATAACACTTATCTATCACAACTGTGACTAGACAAGACTAGAAGTCTATGGAAGCAGTTAAAAGAAATTGTAGCATTTATTACCATAGATGTATCAATCCTACGTAATGTAGCTTTATTTGTCGAGCGCCCTCTATATTCCAATGGATTGTTTGCTGAATAAAAAGGTGTATATCCTATTTTCCCAAGAAAATATATCTACCATACCATGTGTACTTTTAAATAACTCGATTTAGGGATTTTTGTCTTCAAAATAGACACTTAATTTTGATATCACACTGTAGACCTTTTTGTATCAGTGCCATCTATCGGAAAAGGAATCTACATAAGTTGTGCAAGAACTTAGATTGTAGGGCTCATATTTGAACAAATATTAAGAACCTTATATCATTATCACTGGTATAATACTATACATATATTGTATTTCAATGAAATCTATGGAGATTTATTCCATGTAAGTACATTTATTTTTTTTGTCACACCTGGGTACCCAGTAATCACTTATTGGGTGTGTGTAGGTACTTATAGTTCATAAGCATTATTTCACGGAGGTCCGCAGCTAGGAAGTAGAAACCCGATCTATTTTTATAAATAGTTTCGGTAACACAGGGCACAGAATTCAACGAAAAACCAGTGAATCGGGCTTTCACGTCATTATAGGTAGGTATTATATTTGGTGTTCGTACTTTCAGGCTGTATAGGCAAAAGCATTTGTTTATCAACTTACTTGTACATTATAGGGTTTATCAAAATACAATGTAACGAACTCAGTATAAATATCTCAGACTAAATCCTACCGGTTCTGAAATAAGCCGCCTCCACGCCAATTAGCATACAAATGAACCAGACCGAAACAACTTTATACCACCTACCATTATGTTTGACCTGCGTCATCTCCTTATAAGGTACAAAACCTGGATAAACAAAATCTTTAGAACGAACGACCGCGGCTCTACTAAAACTGGTTCCATTGCAGTTTTAATGTAGCACTCTCGGATTGGTCAAGCATAGCAACTTACATCTGCGCGGGAGTAGGTATGATAATAATTATGATAAAATATAGGCGATATTTTACACGATTCGTGTTGCAGTGATATCTTAAGCATATTTAACTGACTTTGTTGCAAGACTTCTAGGTAAGCGTATTAAATTTTCAGTTGTGAGTAAAGTAGTTCATTTTAGTAGAGCTTATTTTATAGTAATAATGTGACTCAAATAGATTTTTTAAACGTGCAGGCACATCATACGTTTCTAGTTAGAATATAAATTTATTTTCTCTATTGAATAGACCATATATCCCTGTAGAAGCTTACCTACAGTTATTATATCTTATAAGTTTACGAAATTAATATTTTTTTTTTCAAAAATATTATGAACACAAACATTTACATAAGGTAAAATATTAACGAAACTTACAAGTAGACCCATATTGATAGGTGTGATAGACTCTTATTGATCTTTTATAAAATCTAAAATATTCACCATTCGCTGTGTGTAAAATACTTATAAAAAATAATTTTAAAATGTATAATAGAAAAGTATAGTAAGGTACCGATGTGGGATTCAGCCGCTATCGAACCCATGAACCGTTTAATATATATGAGGCTGCTAGGGGTAGAGTATACAGTCTAATAAAATAAGGAGGAAAATAAAAATGCGCATTTAACTTAGTCGAAAATGAATTTGTACTATTATTTGTGTAACAATTATCAATGTTGGGTCACTCTTCTCTTGTAGATTAACATTAAATTGCAGTTAGGCTACCCTGGCTCTAGTATGCGTCTTTTATAAGGTGGGTCCACGTTAATTTGTAAGAGTTTATCAGATAATCAAATTATCTATTTCGGGACACCTCAGTTCACTTAACGTAATTGAGTGCGGCACCCTTAGCTATTAGGCAAATCGAATCTCGTCTCACTCCCTTAAAATAAATACATGAGTCTTGGCGCTCAACCAAAGAAAAGAAATACTATAATTTTGAGGATTACAAACAGTTACTATGGGTATATGTTATTTATTTCAGTCATATAATAAGGACAGCTTAATATTTATATTCACAATGTATTTATATTAAAATACATACACCTAAACATAGATTCGATCATATCAAAACGTAGACGTACCTACTACGATTGTCTGCAGTCTATTTTCTAGCTGAATTTTATTAAATATTAATTCATTGGGGTTTGAACACAATTAATATTTTATATTTAGGTTTTTATTAATACTCATAGAAATAGATAACTAATCTTAGACTTGATCGACGAGTTCAGTGACGTGGATGGTTAGGTCGCAGCGTCCCGATCGATCGTTGACTATCCGAGGGCAGAGAAGCATGGAGACAGCTGGTCGAATACTTTTAAGACTGGCATATCCTTGATAACAATAATAATAGTTAATAATAAATTAATTTTACCAATTATGTTTTTTTCTGTTTGGCTACATCATTTAATATATCGTAGAGGTGGAGAGCGGCCAATATTTTAAACCTTTTCATAATGAATGAGTTTCGACAAAGGATACTGGCTGCAAAGGAACGGAATCTTTACCGATTTCAAAATTAATAAAAATTGGCAATCTTACTTCAATTAACAAAAATACAATAGTACTATGAAGACAATAGTACTAATTAGCTTCTCTTCAGTTACTTTAAGCATTATTCTTCTAGCTCTTGGAGTTTCTCTGGTGTAAGTCTGAAGTGGTGTATTTTTGTACACCATACTGATAAAGTTCTCGCAGTTCTGCATAGCAAGTTCGCGAATGTAAGGGTGTGCCAAAGTTGTATTTGTTAGTGAACAATAAAAGTATTCGTAAAATCCCCCGCCCCGGTCCCCTCTAGCCGGCACGTCCGGGGAGCGTGCCGTCGTTTGATGGTCTGCTCTCCAATGCGGAGCCCATATAGCGCAAGATGTACGGCTGCGCTCTGGGCGACGCCTATATTTCCTAAACATCTTTTGGCGGTATTCTGGCGCGTGAGGTGACCTTGTAAGTACGTTCAGTTACATTTTTCATGAAGTCATTTGTTGCTAAAAATACTATTAATATTGTTTCAAATGACATAAATAATAAGTAAACTCAAATATGCAATCATTCTAAGCGCTATTTTTATTTCGTTCTTATTCCATAACTGCCCCGTTGGTATAAATTTATACTAATTTAAAGCTTAACTAACAATTTATTTGAGATTTATCTTATACATTTTCCAAAACGTTAAGCAAACATGTATATAATTCTAATCAAACAAAAGCAATTAAACATATTATTAGCAATGGTTGTAGTATTTAAATAAAACACTTTAACGGTTTAAAACGCGATGTATTAGTTAAAGTGTTTTATTTAAATGTGTACTACTCGCGTAAACTATAGACAGTATTTAACGGTTGTAGTATCTTTGCGCGAAACAGTCGTTTGCCCGTAGTCGAATATGGACGCCACTACAAGGTCACATCGTAAATATATGCAACACGGCACCGGTACGTTACGGATACCAATTCTATCAACAACCTATAAACCGCAACCTTTCTTTGTCTCGCGTCTTAATACTGACGCGTAGTCGAGCGAGATAGAGATCGACGAGTTTAATGGGCCCGTTACGTGAGAAAAAAATCAGTTCGTATTTGCGAGCGTAGATACGCAAGTGATAGTGTCAATTTGGAAGGTTATTCGTCGCGATAATGCTGAACCGGACTGCTAATTCGAACAAGTGACTTTCTTTCGAGAGGTCATCGAGGGGCTATCGAGAGGCCATGCAGTGCATGTAATTCTACTGACTGCCAAAAACCGAATGTCAACAATAATAAGCAACTATTCTAGTAGAATACCACGTGATACAAGTCAAACTAGAGACAGGCCGTTGTAATAGCTCACTTTGGACCCCTGTGTTGTGTCTCCGATGTATACTCAACTTGTTGATTGGCGATCGTTGCAGTGTTGTAAGTATTATTTTATATATTTAGATAGCTAACCTAGTATTCATTACTAAATAACGTGTCATAAATTAAGGTACTTTTTAAAAGTTTTTACTAAACGTAAAGGGACGTCATGATAGTGAAACTAACTTCAGAAGACTGAGCTTTTGTGCAGCTTTGTGAAAAAGACAACCGGTTTCAGTAAAATTCCGGTCTTGTTTAGTCATAATCCTGCTTCACTTTAGGATTTATTTATATATTTTATATAAAACAAGTATTATTCGTCTTTAGTATATTATATATATACCGCAACATTTTAATTTGAATTACGTTTTAAATTGTAATATGAAAATAGTATACCTAATAGTTTTAATATTTTTTATAATATTAATATATTATAAATCATAATGGACATAATATTATGTACCTTCATACACTTATATGTCTACTCAATTGTGTAGGTAGGTACAAATATTATTTGCACTTATAACTTAAAACCTTATTATTAATAATTAATTTAGTATTATCAGATAACTAGGGTTACTACTTCGTGTATATATTCTATTGAATGTTATTGCAAGACCAGGATAAAGATTGACAAAGAGGCTTTCTCTTAATTATCATAACAAAGGCTCAAAGTGTTTTTAAATCACAACAGACCATTGACAAATTTCGAAAGAGTTTAGTACAAATGTTGAGTTGCTTAATTAAGGGTAGCCTATTTGCATATTTAACGGTCAGAGCTCATGTGTTACAATTAAGAAAATATTTCTTTAAAATTAAAACGTAATAGAAAGAACGCTTTTCTTGTGTAGGGAATGCGGCATAACTACTGATTTCTGTAACTATCTCAGTATCCATTTGTATAACAGGCAAGTACCTAGTTAATCAGACTTTTGTGCTCTTACCGACTGAAATTACAATGTCATCTTAAATGCTATAGGGCGAAATGGTACCCAATAAGTTTTTTTGAGCGATAAGGCCGATCAACAAAGAATTCTTCTTTAAATAATTACTACAATAAAAATAGATTATATATAGCTATAAAATGTTTGTAAATATATAATGAGTATAAGGAAATAAAGATATTCTTTATCTCACTTGGAGGCATCAATTTGAAATTCCAGTATCCATAATCTCTACTTTGTTGCGTTAAAACCTTATTGATAAATATCGAAATGTCAAGGAGAAACCAAGTTTCTCTTATTAGCATAATAAAGGGTGGCTCGGTAGGAATAGTTTTGCCTTAAACTCAAAATATTATAATACATATAGGTAGGTGCGGCAGGGTAGAAATTAGGTATACCTAATCTTTGAAAACATTAATATTTTTCACATGTTATTGCACATGAAGGCACTATATAATTTAAAAATCCTGCCCGAGTCGAAAAATATTTCAATTTATTTTCAATTTTTAAACTATACCTAATCTTTATATGGGTAAGTTAGGTAGACAAACATGTGTACTTTATTTCGTCTGTCACTTGGTATAAAACAAATTATCATTATTTAATGACTGCTTTATAAAATTGGATGTACCTATAATTTGAAATTAGCAGTAGATATAAAAGTTTCTGAATTAAGTTAAATAATTATTTTGTACATATTGAATGCATTAAATTCGTTATAAGTAGATTACATTATGAAAAGTCAAATTTTACCGGTCAATCTTGATAGAAAACACCTAATGCACTTGTTTAATTAATTTATATGATAAATAATAATAATATAATAGAAAACGATTAGAGAAATGTATTATATAACTCAAGTTTAGAGTTTGAATCTTTTTACAAAATATCTTCATATAATTTTATATGTTATTCTCAATTCTTCCACTGAGGTTGTTAGTTTATTTAAAGTTGTTTTAGGGCTAATACAAATCTACAAAGATTTCTTTTATATACTTACACTGAAGTCTAAATAGATAGTAAAGTCTCTTCTAATAGCTTACTATATCATTACCTGCAAAAATTGAGTTAATTGAGACGTAATTTAATACTATTGTTTATGTATATTAATAGTATATTAGTAGTAATATTGTTAGTTGCAAAAATGGTTTTGTTATATAATTATCACCAAGCTGTAAGCATTTCGCGTATTCTTTATGTAATCAAAGTACTTATGTTGTATAGGTATTCACTGGCTGCCCTGTGCCCTTGTCTCGTAGGTACGGTTGTCTGACAACACGCCGTAATCCTAAACTTTCAAGTCGATAAATATGCTAATTTTATAGTAAACAAAGAGTTTTGAAAGTCACACGGCGTTGTTTTTGTTCGCCCGCGCTTGCCTCCCTGTCATTTTCATGCAAATAGACTAACTTCGACTCACAAAGCAGAGTTTGGACAAATAGAATTTATTTGTTGTTCGTCGGTAATACTAGTGGCATGTGTTACGTTATTTTCAATAGCTTTAATACTAAAAATGATTAAGAAGTGATATTTATTGTGTGTTTTGTGATGTGTACGGTTTTATAGATAAAGGGCGAAATAGGTGACAAAAGACACAAGCTTCAAAATCGTTACTGTAGAAAGAGGCTTACTTTATTTAACATGATACTTTTGAAGGTTAGTACTTTAATATTTTTAAAGGTTTACATGTAAAAACTTTGACATATACAGTTAGTCACAAAGACAGTTAAGAGATGTTTTCAATGATATATAATTTTTTCAACGAATTAATTTTGTTAATATTAAATTGATTATTCTGTATATGAAATCTATATTAACTTAAACGTCTTATGTTGAAGAAGGTATAAAAACTTTTCCGTCTGTTAAAAGTACCTTGTCAAAACTGGTTTTCCTCTACAATGTATGCGAAACACGGCGTTTTATCTGAAATAAGTACAATCTGTGATACCTACAGAATTTCAAGACACTACTTATTTAAGGTACTCAAAGTACATTTCTAGATACATTTAAGATTACAGGTGTACTTTACATGCTTCGTAAAATCTTTATTTTATTAGCATTACAAAGTTGCACCGCGATTAAGTGTCCCGATAAGAATGACGATGTTTTTTGCATATTAATTGTAGGTAATCGGTTAATTAAGGACTGCGTTTAGGTAAATTACGAAGGTTTTTAGTGTGTGCTTCCAATCAATAGGTAATTTAATGTTACAGGAAATTTTAAATTCCTGCAGCTTGAAAACAAAGGAATATAGGTATGTACCCAGTAAGGTATCCTGAAAGATAGCTTTTTTATAGTTTGCATAATATATAATTTTCTACTATATAATGATAAATCATATAAAACAATTTAATAAAATTTCATGTTTAATAAAGTATAATATAATTTTCAGTAACTTTACTGACATAAATGCTTTCTATTTAAATGCATGAACTTTCCAATTTATCTATCATACCATGACGTTTACGTTGGTTATTAATGCTTTTTATGTTTAGATTTTTGTTAATAAATAGTTACAATAAATAATTGTTACGGTAAATACTTAAAACTATGGGAGACAGTAATCTTTTTAACGAACCAATAATTAAATGGAACATCGATAGATCGTCAAATTTATATATGTGCACAGAGGTTTTAGATAGAAAGTTTCAATATCAACAAGAATATAACACCTATATTGTCTGCAAGAATGTTGCTCGTAAGGTTGCGTCGTACCCACCCTGTCTCTTAAATTGTCTGCATTTAGCGTTTATACATAACTTGAGGTCAGTTAATTCTTTCTCTTTGTTTTGTCTACGTATTTGGTTGCTGTACTTTGATACGCTTAAGTACATACAGATAGTTAAATGCCCACATTGAGTCGGTTTTATGTCACATCAGTTGGAATTAATATTAAGTGTACAATTTACTGAAGATACAATGTTGGGAATATTACGCCCATGCAATGATTTCGCTACGACGTAGGTGGACATTATTTACAATTTCAAGATAGCGTTATAAAAATATAAAGGACTCGTTGAGTAGTCGTAACATAGATAACGTACCTACGGGCTGTGGGTTCACTTCCCATTGGATTCAAAATGTTGGTGATTTTTTCATGCCATACTATTTCGTGGGAAAATTAAGCCAATAATT